GGTGGGAAATGAGACTTTTTGCCCTGGAGCAAAATGAAGCACAGTAGCTTGATCCAATGTTCCTCTGAGGCTCCATGCTCAGGCCGTCAGCCGCCGATCACATGTTGATGGTGAAGCATGGCAAAGAAGGGGGGAAGAAAGAAGTGGCATGGCGCGATCACACATGTGGCAATCGCAAGCCATGGCTTCCTGATCAGAAGGGCGCATGACCACGGAAGCGAATCCATAGAACAGTGGCCATGTGCCACGCTGCCTAGCTCAATGGCGAGCCGGTGCATCAGTTTTGCATTTGTGTGCACCTCTGAGGCTCCATGCTCAGGCCGTCAGCCGCCGATCACATGTTGATGGTGAAGCATGGCAAAGAAGGGGGGAAGAAAGAAGTGGCATGGCGCGATCACACATGTGGCAATCGCAAGCCATGGCTTCCTGATCAGAAGGGCGTTGTTCCCATATGCACATGACCACAGAAGCGAATCCATAGGACAGTGGCCATGTGCCACGCTGCCTAGCTCAATGGCGAGCCGGTGCATCAGTTTTGCGTTTGTGTGCATGTGCAGTTCCACAATTGTATGCATACCATGGAGGCTTTAAAAAAATCTGGTGTGATACGGGCGCTGGATGCGACGGGATACCAGTGCTTCCGCAATCCGACGCCCGCCCATGCCCCGCGTTTTTCAGAAAATACTGCCCTTTCCCAGGTATCTTTTTACTCTGCATCTCTGGCAGGGCGATACGGGTTGCCAATGGGTGCAGGATACTTGCCAGATGTTGCAGTGTGGTTGCGCCCGTAAAATCTGCCCGACATTAATCCCTATCCGCACACCTTCGTCTTCGTGTGACCGGGACCAGTGACAAACATACACCCACCAATGGACACCAATGCACTGGTGATTATTATGCTCCTAGTCTCTTTGCCCTGAACTGCATAGCCCAGACTATTATCAGGTTTTGAAACTACGTGGGGTTGGCCCTGCCTAGTATTTGGATGGGAGACCTCCAAGGAATACCAGGATCATGCTGTGGAGGCAGGCAATGGCAAACCACCTCCGAATGTCTCTTGCCTTGAAAACCCTACAAATTGCCATAAGTCAGCTGTGACTTGATAGCAAAAAACACACAAAACAACCATATCTTTGCATTTTCAGGCGCTATACAGCCATATGTATCACAAAAGGAATTGAGTGTGAGGAGGCAATCTATTGTGCTGATTTGCTTCACTCTGGAATGCCTTGCTGGTCCCAAGACTTTTATATATGGTAGTTCCACTTACCATTGATTATTGGGAGGGGCCATGGCTCAGGGGAAGAGTCTCTGGTTTGCATACAGGAGGTCTGAGGTTCAATCCCTTGAATCTACAGTTATGGATCAGGTAGAAGAAGAAGAGTTTAGATTTATACCCTGCCCTTCACTGCCCAAAGGAGTCTCGGAGCAACATACAATCGCCTTTCCCTTCCCCTCCCCACAACACCCTGTGATATAGGTGGGGCTGAGAGAGCTCTTTCAAGAACTGTTTCTGAGAGAACAGCTCTGAACAACTTGTAACTGACCCAAGGTCACACCAGTAGCTGCATGTGGAGGAGTGGGGAGTCATAGAACATAAGAACATAAGAGACGCCAATGTTGGTTCAGGCCAAAGGCCCATCCAGTCCAACACCCTATGTCACATAATGGCCAGAAATACCAGGTGCCATCAGGAGGTCCACCAGTGGGGCCAGGACATTAGAAGCCCTCCCACTGTTGACCCCCCCTAGCACCAAGAAGACAGAGCATCACTTGCCCCAGAGTCCCTATCTATACCTTGTGGCTAATAGCCACTGATGGACCTCTGTTCCCTATGCTTATCTAATTCCCTTTTGAAGCCGT